TTTAATCTCGTAATATTATGACTTTATTCTAGTAAAATTACGACTTTAATCTCGTAATATTATGACTTTATTCTAGTAAAATTACGACTTTAATCTCGTAATAATAAAAAAATCTTGTTGTGTGGCCCTAATTCTCCGTTGTAATAATAAAGCAATCTCAAGTCAAATAATTGCATATTTAAGCCAAAACATTAAAAAAATTAAACTCACAGTGCACATCTGTTCTCCTGAAGAAAGCGCTGTTTACCCTCAGGCATGTGTGAGCCCATAATAGACTGGACGGTGACAAAGCGGTCGTATCCATTCAGCATGTAGCGGATTTTCTCCACTGGCACGGAATGTGTGGAGCGTCTGCACATTAATAAATGCACAAAACAAAACTTTATATGGTTGTGTTTGGTAGCAGTTTTATTCATGCGCAACTGGAAAATAATTAAAACCAGGCAAACTTCCTGTGTTACCTCTCCAGTTCTCTGGGCTTGTTCTTCCACCAGGTGTCTGGCTCTTTGAACAGCACCTTATATGCATGTCTCAGTGCCTGGGATAGATAAAAAACAATGATTTTCTGCCATTTATTACAAAGTTCCAGTACATCTAGTTCACACAATCCAGAAATATGAATCTAAATATTTCCTAAATCTTGTATAATCTCATATTTTAACTGAATAAATAGACATGTAGCTCCATTTAAACACTTAGGTTGTCAGAAAGAATATATACAGACCTGAGCTACATAGGGTCTCATCTCCCAGCTCTGCATGTTGGTATTATCAATAATGATCGGATTGACGGCCCTCTCAAAAGCCTCCCTGGCTGTGGAATGAAAACAAAAAAATGACAACAGCTGCAGAAAGAATAGGTTAGCTTTCTAATAAAAACTTAGATCAAAACACAACAGCAATTTGTTAGACGTTAATTTAAAAACACTTAAAGGGATCCACGATTAGTTGCAACATTAGACTTTATGTGATAAACATTTATTTTAACTGTAAAATAAAGACTGTAAAATACTTTAAGTTTAGTTTTTATAAGTTTAAATCTAAGTTTTTAAAAATACTTTTGAAAAAATTGACAAGACTGAACAGCCGACAGTATTTTCACAGTCTTTATTTTTATATGTTTATCAAATAAAGTTTAATGTTAAAACTAATCGTGGATCCCTTTAAAAAGGTCACAAGCCTTTTTAATCGACACTCCTAGACATTCCAGTCAGCTCTGTGTGAAAGTGTTATTAACCTCGTCTGTGATTCCACTCGTGGGCTTCTCCCAGCACAGAAGGGTCAAACCAGTACTGTCCACCGCGGATGAAATAGTCGTCTGTGCTTAGTATGACTCCACCTGGGTTATGGTCCAACAGAGCTCTGCAGAGACACACAAAAGAAGACCTTACACTCTCTTGGTGTTTTAATCAAATGTTAAAAGAAAAAATGCTCTATTAACAAATTTGTATAAATAAGCTGGTGCAGGTATTTGTTTTCAGCACATCTTCTACAAAGTCAGAACACTGAGTTGTAAGTAAAAACAGTACGTAGAGCTATCAAGGAAATAAGTCAGGGTAATCAAGACATAAAAGATTTGTTCTTAACCTCAGTTCTGAGCAACATGACTGGGACATGTGACCTTGTCATATTGAGCAACTGTGAATTAGTGATACGATAAAGACAAATCAGTAAAAATAATGCGCAAGTCTGAAAACAAATTAGCACTTTTTGTTATTAGTCTGGTCTCAGAGTCTCATCTGAAGTGCAAAGAGTGATAGACAGCCTAAAAACAAGCATCAACAAACACACCAATGTAATGCATGAAGAGACTACACTATCCGAGCTTTTTTACCTTGCCAAGGTTGACTTGCCAGATCCGGGAGGGCCACGAAGCAGCACCAACACCTTCCCTTGCAAATACAACCTGCTGAGACGAGCAGGAGCCGGTCCAGGAGCAGTCAGGGCCCAGGATTTTGGAATAGCGGCAGAAGGCTTAAGAGGTGCTTGACTGAAAGGGCCCTGACACAGCCAAGGAGAGGCATGCCTGGTATGACTGAGCCAAACGGACGGTGCCTGGGCTACAGGGGTGATGAAGGCCGGTCTCTGGTTTCCATGGATTTGAGGAGAAATCGTTGGAGCTACCAAGTTCCAGGGTGGTGGCATGTAGTTGAGTGGATTGCCACATAGCAGATTCACTTTAGATCTTGCTCCGCTGACTGCTGAATCGGTGTCTGTGAGCCCTTCTGAGAGAGCTTCCTGCTTTTTATACACCTGGAAAGCTGAGGGACGTCCTGAGGATGCTAGGTCCAAAGGAGGCTTGGGCTTGTCTGGAGACAGTTCTGTCACCAGGTGTGTGAAATCCACAACATCTGTCTGTGCCTCTGGGATCTGATCGTTGCTGATGTGGAGCTGGTTGAGTGGAGAGGAAACTAGAGACAAATGCTCCACCAAGCCACCGGACAGTGACGGCTGATCAGTGACATGTTCTCCAGTTCCAGCCTCCAGGCTGCTTCGAAGCAGCTCTGGAAGTGCCTGCTGATGGTCAGGTAGTGGAGGGAAGGAGGAGAGCGGTGCTTCGGCAGTGCACTGCTCTCCCTCGACGTCTTGCTGTGCAGCTAGTGTCTCTAACTCTTGATCAATAAGCAGGTCCAGCTCTTCAGTCAGCAGGCTGGTGGACAGAGGCGAGGAGGACGGCGGTGGCGAGTGTGCGTCGTCTGGTTGTGGTTCGGAAAAGTGATGTGGGCTGAGCAAGGCTGCAGCAGTGTGCTCAAAGCCAGAAACAAAAGGAGGGGGAGGAGGATTCGGGGTTAAAACTTCAGCTGCTACAGACAGTTCCAGCAAAGAGTCCATGGCATTTTCAACTACAACACACAGACAAACACAAATGGCAACACACAAGTTAAGGAGTAAATAACCACATTAACACATACTTACATCGAGCAAAAAGGCAATAAAATTCTTAAAAATGTGCTAAAATGAAACTTTTTTATAATAAACTGTGACCAAACAATCATAACAAAACGATTTTCATTATAGCTGCTCCATTTGTAACTTAATTACCATTCATTTTAGTCTTATATTTTGTTGTTTTTTTATTGTTTTTACGTTTGACTAAATTATTAAGCACTTTGGTCAACCTCAGGTGTTTATGTGCTATAGAAATAAAAGTTACATTGCCACTGTAAGAGCCATTTAGTGTGACATTTCTGCTCTATATTAAATCAAAAACTTTAATAAAACTTTTAGTAACTGGTGAAATATAAAAAATACAGTATTTATACAACATATTAAACTTTCATTAGATGTGAGGCAATAAGTGGAAAGATGCAGCTGAAGTTTATTCCAGTTCTATAAGAAGTATGCACCTGCAGGATGTATCCTAATGCTTTAGTCACAAACACTACTTAATAAGCAGCAAGCTACTCTGCTAACTAGTTAGCTAGGTCACAATTAAAACCCATAAGTCAAAGTCTCACAGCAGGTTGGACAGGTATTTGTGGTACCTTTATAGTCACATTCAGACAGCACGATGTGAATAACATCTGGGTCCAGGTGTGAAAACATCTCCTGCATACTTTTAACGATTTTCTCCTTATCAGCGCTGCTGGTCTTCAATGTGGTGCCGGGTTGGAAGTTGCTAGCCATGGCGATATTGTATGATCTGTGTGGCAGTGGTGGGTAACTCGTGTTGTCGCCGAGGCTTCCTAACTTTGGTGGCCCAGCGGGCTGCCTGGCCGGGCTCTGGCCGTTCTTCTTCCTCCGAGGCATACCGTACGTAATAAATAAGAGCGCTGCTGATTAGCCGCATTAGCCGCTAACACGGCTAAGTGACCGTACATACACACAGGGGTAGCTCGAAGCTGCAAACAAAAACATGCTACTGAAGGCTAGTGAAAACCAAAATGAAGAAATTCGAGATTAAGATACCCAATAGCACTCCAAGTGGTGGAAACTCGTCAGAGAGTACGGACTGGTTTCTGTGTATCTATGCAATCATAGAAATGAATACTGTACAAGCATAATGAACACCGGAAGTAATGACTTTTAAGTAATAGCTCGCGCTCAGAATTCATCGTTCGATTTTTTTTTGCAGCGTGATTGTGATCGATGTCATTTTCAGCACTGAGTAAATTTCAGGAAATCCTCCGAAAAATATTCGTAATATTTTTTTTAAAGTTATGGCGTATTTTCAATACCTTTAATTACAAAAATAACAGAAATTGGGTTTAGTGACGCACGCATTTAACAGCAAACATGAAAGCTTGTCAACCTGAATGTGACCAGTAGATGGCGCTATTTCCCCCAAACCACTTTGTTTAAAGCCATTTATTCCAGTGCAATATAAGTAGTTGTGGTAAATCAACACAAGTTGGTTTTAGACATTTATGATTGCATGATTTTTCAGTGATTTAGAAAAATGCACTTGTCCTCTTTTTCTACCCACATCTAACAAACTTAAGTAAAGTGAGTACGTTTCCTGCTATTTGTTTCCAACTCCCGCCATGGATTTGGAGTTGCAATACTGCTTTGGGACCAAGGGGGGCGCTCTGCGCCTAGCTTTCGCACAGATATCATTGACTGAACGGACAGAGAGCTTTGTGCCGAAAACTAAACCAATCTGAGTCAGACTAATGAATTAAAACGGCCCATCCGAGAGGTAAATACTAAGAAAGAATTGCTTGTCAAATATCCAGGCTTTTCGTGTTGTAGCGTTTTTATTTAAAGATAGATCAATTTAGCATTTGTTTGGGTGTTTCAAATCATCCGTGGGGCAAGTTCTTGGTTGAGAGAGAGAGGAGGGCTCAGGGCGACGGTAGCAGCCCTGCCTCGCCTGTAAAACTAGCGGCAGTACGGAGCGATGCTCGGAAGTTGAGAAACGACCGAAACAAGTGAATTAGCTTCTGTTTAAAACTTTATTAAAGTGTCTGCATCAGTGGAAAACACCAGGAGCTGACCACGAGCGTGGCTGTTTTGGGCAAAGATGATAGGATACTTGACTTCCTCTGTGATTGTCTGTGAACGCAGATGTGATGGGTACCTGGATAGTTTGCGGCCTAAGCTAACACTGTAGGCTAACCAGTTAGCACGGCTAGCATTCCCGCAAAATGTTAGCCAGTGTTGTTTGATCAGCTAACTAGCTAACGTGATAACCTGTTTGACAGTATAGCTGCACCGGCAGTGTTGTTCATAAAGTACTTTTTCAACAACACGGTTCTGTAAATATGTTATCTATGTAGCTCTCTCATCCGATTCTGTCTCCATACCCTGTCTTATAAAATTTTATGTTAAATTAAAGCTGATGTTTAGCTGAGGTAATTTAGCTCGTAAGCTAATAACATTCATGATGCTGCTCCAGTGGTGGGTTTTTGTTATGAGTGTACTACATTGCAATGCCGATCAGTGTTTATGTGTGGTTTTAATAATAATAATAGATAACATTTATGATTGGCGCTTAAAATGATATGTAAATCGAGGTTTTTTTGGTGAGTGCGGTAGCATGGTTTTGCTGAACTTTTGTTTTCTGACCCATAGAGGCCAGTAGAAGACCGTGTGGACCAGACAACATCAACAAGCATGGAGTTCCCGCAGCAGCAGAAACCAGCGGGGGACGGAAAGATTGTATACCCTCCTGGTGTGAAGGAAATCACGGACAAGATCAGCAACGATGAGGTGGTCAAACGACTGAAGGTATGCTGATGGAGTCCTATTTATGTAAACTTTAACCCCATTTGTACAAATCTAGCTTCTGACACGTCAAACCTTAATCTTAACTTTACAAACCAGGGGGGTCCAATCCTGGTCCTCAAGGGCCACTATCCATCACCCTTTCTCTGCTCCAACACACTTAATTTAAATGAGTGGGTGATAAACAGGTTGATTAGGCAAACAAGTAAAACATTCACAATAGCAGCTCTCGAAGAGCTGGATTGGGCACCACTGTTCTATATTGTGTCTTTAATCACCCTGTTTTGGAGGCTGTTTTTAGCTCTTTTATTGTTTTGTCATTAAACTATTCATAGGCAGTGTTCAAACTGGTTGTGGCTTAGTGTTATCATTATTAAGTGTGGTTGTGCAGGGGTCAAGCTGCTGCTGCAGATTTTCACGTTTGGTTATATAGTGTAGAGGCATCTGTTTATGCTCCAACGTTGCTCACGTATGATATGAATTTATTTCTAGAAAATGTTTTTTTTTTTGTTGAATTTGTTTATAGTTGTGCTGTTGTTTACATGACACAAAATGATGGGCAGTGGCCATGTGTTAGGAAAACTATTGGATAGACTTGTTTGTCCTAACTGTTTCAAGAGATCTGGGGTCGGATTTATAAAACTGGCGTACGCACAATATGAGCCCAGAAACTTGCGTACGCCACTTTTTACGCCAAGGTTGTGATTTATAAAATCCAAACTTGACGTGAAAATGTGCTGTGCCTCACGCCAGCTCTGACCCATGCATTTTGGAGACGGGAAGCTGCGACAGAGATGGTGAAGTGGTGAATTAGAGCCACACTGTGTAATGATCACTGTCAGATATTTAATTTACCTTCATAATCAGACTTAGATTTTTATTCAACTTTATCATCAGCTTTCTTAACAGTTTTATTTATGTTTCTGCTGCTGAGCCATGAGGACCTTTTGAAAAAAAAACTTAAATCTTAAATAAAAGTTCCCGTGCGCAACTCCCTTCATCTGCTTCCTCCTCAGACGACCCTGACCCACAGACCCCTCCCTGATCCACAGACCCCTCCCTGACCTACAGACCCCTCGCCGACAAGAACAGCAGGACAGCAAAAGTCACGCTTTGGATACACGTGCAGGGCGCATCCACCTCGCCAGTGTGAATGTTATAAAACTTCACGTTTAAAGTCCGTATTTGTCGCGCGCGTGCATGTGTGTGTGCGCGCGGGGCAGGGGTGTCTGCTGCAGATAACAGAGCAGGCAGGAGGGGGAGAGGACAAGGAGAAGAGCGGTGGACTTATTTCTAATTTTATCTGACTTATTTAATTTAATTTTTATTGTTTTTATCATCCTGCAGGCTCTGTGAGAAAATTAATTTGAAGCTGAGTTTTTTTTTTTTGAATAAAAATTGTTAGATTACTCTAAAGCAAAATAAGGGAAAATCTGTGTCAATTACAGACAATCTGCTCATGTGAGCAACTGTCAGTCAGCACCTGTCAACCTCCAGACTCATGACGGATTGTGTCTGAACCAATCACTTTTGTTGGCATTGATCAGCTGACTGATTTAAATACATCTTAACATTCATGAGGTACTTTACATTGACTGTTTATGGTTGAYTGTGGGCGTGTAGAGGGTAGAACCTGAGGCGGGACCTCGTGCGCAAACTCTGACGTGCGGCTGTGATTTATAAAGGAAAGATGCGCAGAAACATGCGTACGCACGGTTTTATAATCCGAATTTTTTTTGGCGTACGCCATTTCCGCCTTTTGGCCGTACGTTCACTTTTAGTATGGTTTCCACGCAATCCTTTATAAATGAAACCCCTGGAGTTGTATTTTGACACCTTCACAGTAGCTCTGTGCCCGTTCATTTATTTTCATTACCTGCTTTTCCTTTCCGGGTTGGTGCCTACCTCCAGTGGTAATTGTGCAAGAATCGGCGTTCACTCTGGACAGGTCCCATTTATATCACAAGGACACAGGCAAACAACCATTCACACTCTCATCCACAACACCAAGGGATGGTTTAGGGTTACTAAATATCAAAACATAAATGTTTTTGATTTGTGGGAGGGAACTGGAGTACCTGGAGAAAATCCATGCATGCTTTAGTAGAACATGCAAACTGCACACAAAAAACCCAGGAGGCAAATCAGCAACATTCTTTCTGTGAAGACACATTACTAACTACTGCACTGCTGTGCCCAAGATAAAAATAATTAATGGAAAATCTAGTTCAAAAGTGTACTCCAGCTGATAAAATCATAAATGTGGGGCATCTGCCAAGAAGGGAACCAAGGGACCAAAGGTGGGGAGCTTGTGGTAATGCCTGTTGTATTTCTTTTCTCTGCGGATTTGAAGTTGTGCTAAACGGATGATTTTGACTTAATAAATGCGTACAGCTCATAAGTTTCCTCAGCTTGAATGTTTATGTGCATAATGATACCAAACAAATACCTGAACATAGGATACAGCTTGTGTTTATCCATGTTTGACCATGAGTCCAATGTTGTACATTTTGTTATCTCTGGTTAAATAAATCATGGCATTTTTGACAGTTTGTAAAAAAATAAAAAAGAAGAACCGTAATTATTATTTTTGCAAAGTTGTGTCCATTTGGCATACATTAGGTTATGTCCTTGTTTGCCTTTTCACACTCACATGCCCAATTTTGTTTTATCACATACTCGGGTGCCCGTGGGGAGTTTTGCTCTCCTCTTGTCTTTTTTTATTGTTCATCAGCCTTGTTTGTTCATCAGCTTTACACTGTAAATTAAGGTTTACTGTAGTTTAGCATCTGGCATCTGAAACATAAACACAAGCATGTAATCTGTCATTGTTGTTATTACATCTGTCATGCTTAGCGGTTGTAGGTGGGACTGACATTGTTGTCAAAAGGCTTCATTTTGGCTGACCACTCAAAATTGCAAGGATTGTGTTTCAAGATTTTTTTTTCACTCTTGAATCTGAATTTAAAAAATTAGTTTCGAGGCTCAGATAATATTGTCTTTGTGTAGCTATAATGGCTAATTGTTTGGAGCTCTTTTCCCGAGGCCTTGATGTCGTACAGGTTTACATTGACGTGAGATAAACA